TGAGATAGCTTATGCACAAATGCGGAGTATTGTGGTCACCGCTTTATCGTGACAGGTCGGAAACCATGAAAGTATCCCGATTAAGTGGTAAACACATAACAACGTGCATAAGGATAATTTTTTCGAAGATATGTGTCGTTCAAGCGATGCACACGTTTTTCTGAGGCTCGATAAAGCAGGAACCACTGTATTTGAGAGTAAGGTCTGCTTTGCGTCTAATTGTATTATGATTTATTTTACTCTTACCTCACTGATTATACTCTACACGGTGAGACATTCATATGAGATAATTCAGAATCATGTTTCTATTGTGTTCCTTCTGCTGATGAGCAGATAAATTTGAACCAAGGCAGGCTCCATTCAAAACTTTCTGGTCAACGATATGTTGATCGAGGTTAGCAATTTCCCCTTCAGTGTACCTGTCTCACTGAGGCCGGTCATTACTTGCCTATAATCGCTGCCTAAGTAGAGTCGTGAAGATTTGTGACAGTCCGTGATTGCTTGTGCCAGAGCCAGCGTCAAGTTACCCATCAAACACAGCCAAGAAAACTTTCAAACCAGAGCTTGAGGCACTTTGTAGATTAAGTCTCCTTGAGGTCTTTTGTAGATTCCTCCCATATTTTGTCATAGTTTTTTTCGGAAAGATGCACGAAATTCTACGTGTGATTAATTGGCTTATTTACATGAAAAATATTTGACCCGTCGTAATTCGCCTATTGAGACTTCTCGACGTACTCATCAACATCAAGATCAAGAAGACCCAGGACAAGGTCACCTGCAATCTGTATTACCATGTCCATATAAAACTTAACAACGTTGTCGTAGAAGACGAAAAGGTTACTGAATGCGACAGTAAAATATTTAAAATGCTTTTCTTCTGAAGTCGGCTTTCTTCACAGCTGAGAAATCTACATCTGCCTAACGAACAGACAGTAATAATATATTGGTGATATTGGTAAAATTAGCGAATGAACATTATCTCTGGACATACGTCCTGTTATGGGCTAAAGTAACATCAGATGTTTATACGTTATGTGTTTACGATTCATATGTGTGGGTATTACATTACATTACTGTATAGTTGGAAAGATGAGGTATATCATTTACGACACCTTTGTTGACACTCAGTGCCAGAGTGCTTTACGCATCATGTGGTTCTTTCACGGCCCCATTACTGGAACATTTCGGTCATTTCACGTGGTCATCCGAGCCACGAAAAAACAGTCCTCAGCTTTGAGAGCTAGGTTTTTTCAGCATGGGACAATTCACTGCCATGACCGGGGTTTGAATGCAAGGCGTTGAAGGTGAAAGGCGGACACGCTAACCACTGGACTACCGAAGCTCTTTCGTTATTTTCTTTGCGTTATCTAAATCAGCTACTTTAAACAATGTAAGCCCCCGGGTTAAACACAAAATTAAATGTATCGGGAAAAGATAACATTCATAAATCAGAGTTTGGCACAATTTGAGACTTTAAAACCGCCTTGGATTGCGGCCAAATCCTGGATGGTCCCAAGTAAATGACATATGGGTTCAGGATGACGGAGCTACTGAGAATAATTGGACAGGAAAGTGTCAGTTTTTCTTGGCATTGTAATAATGGCCTTTTCTAAAAGCTGATTGTGGCTTCAATGACACATGCGTTCACTATTGTTCGCAGACAAATGATGAAAATGTATTGTATTCATCGCATTATGGTGACGGGCGTCGCGAGTACTACACTACTCTGAGAGATGCTGTCTCGAGGCACCACCCGGTAAAACTGCGTGCTCCGCTTTTAAATGTGCTATTACTTATGTGTTATCAGTCGTGATTGTCTTGATGAACCAACCATAACAATATTAATTTTATCATATAAATGAGTAAATTACAGGATATCGAGATAGAGTGTAGGAAAATGCAAACATTTCCCCAACCTGGTTGAACAGGGGGTGGGGATCTTTTAATGGCATATTAGGTTAATGTATCCCCAAACTGAGGATAACTATTGTAATGCCGCTGCGCGTAAGTGCAGCTTATATTACTAACAAACAAGACAACGTGACAGTTCCTTTTTATGAATAGCAGGCGACGCGTCGTTGTAATTAGCAGGCATTGTGGGCCGACGCCGCACGTCTGGTCACCACTCCTCCTCCACAAAAAGCATGGAGATCTGAGACTATTGTCCAGTCCGGCATTCCGCTAACCATGAAGTAGTGTAGCTTATCGCCCGGATGCTAGCGGCGGCTATAAAGTCGATACTAACAATAATTAGGGAGATGGAGGAGTTGGAGAGAGAGCGAAAGAGATAGGAATTGGAGAGCGAAAGAGACAGGGGTTGGAGAGCGGGAGACATAGGTTGGAGGAAGAGAGAGAGATCGCGCGCGAAAGAGAGAACGCGCGCGCGAGAGAGAGAGATAGAGCGCGCGCGAGAGAGAGAGCGAGAGAGAGAGAGAGAGAGAGAGAGAGAGAGAGAGAGAGAGGAGGGGGGTACAGGGGGTTGTCTTCCTCCCGCCTCCCTCCCCCTCTCCTCCCGGCCTCCCTCCCCTCTCCTCCCGCCTCCTTCCCCCTCTCCTCCCGCCCCTCCCTCCCGCCTGCCTCCCTCCCGCCTGCCTCCCCACCTCCCCTCACCTCCCTCCCCTGTTCTCCTATCTCCCTCCCCCAACACCTCAAGGATACTTTATATTTTGCATTTTCTTTTCTGAATGTCACTTAGTTTCTCTGACAGTTTGCGTAATAAATGTATTAATCCTGTACAATGTATTTATTTCTCGTGCTATAGATTTCTTATATTGTTCTCTGCTTAGTATACTCTCTCTCTCTCTCTCTCTCTCTCTCTCTCTCTCTCTCTCTCTCTCTCTCTCTTCTCTTTTTTTTTTAAATCCTCCCGCCTACTGGCCTCCCTACTCTCACTCCTTCCCCTCCCGCTCTCCGCCCCTTTTTCTCCCGTCTCCCGCCCCATCCTCTCCCGTCTCCCGTCCCCATTTCTCCCGTACCCCCCCCTCAGAGAGAGTGCGCGCGCGCGCGAGAGAGAGAGAGAGAGCGCGCACGCGAGAGAGAGAGAGAGAGAGAGAGAGAGAGAGAGGGAGGGAGGGAGAGATAGAGATCACCAAGAGTCAATGAGAGTTGCTTGTACGCGTGTAAATTGTGTGTGCGAAGTCTATAATAAGATTCATCGTTTCCACACCATTATCGGCGGCTGCTACGATGATAGAGCTAACCACCCAGCGAACAGCGTACAACAACATAACAACAATACAACAAAACAACAAATTACAGTATAACAACGATACAGAAATTACAATTAACAACAATACAACAAAACAACAAATTACAGTATAACAACGATACAGAAATTACAATTAACAACAATACAACAAAACAACATGAACAAACAACAAAATAACACAACATAACAAGAATACAACATAATCATGTAGCGACCCAAATCGTACCAATTACGAGTATTTAGGCATCCTAACACTGAGCCAGCCTAATCAGAAAGTAATAGTAAACCTTAAAATATAGCAACACCGAAGCATCTCGAACCACGAACGAATTTTTAAGCTTAATAATACATATATCGCACGCAATTCCTTCGCCAGTATTATAATTGTACGCTTCCTGAGCTCCATTCAGCTCTCGGAGGTTCCCGCCAATGTGTGTATATTATGAAGTAATTGCTTATTAGGACGTGATAAACGAGGGTCTGCAGTAGACTGGCGCCGTAATTAAGTCGTTATTGACATCAACTATAGTAGAGCGAAACCACGGGGATATCTACTGTCAGCCCACATCCGCGACATTAAGCTAAACGAGCTAAAAATGTGTATGTAAACTTGTAAATAGATTAGACTATAGTGAAAAGTTTGCAATCTCTCATGAGTGTTCTAATGGCCTGTCTGCCAGACTTAATCGAATAAACGACAGTAATGTAGTGCAGAAATGAAACGAGATTGCAAAAGCCTTGTACGGAGCGAAGTTTAAGTGGACGCCAAAAATGATGTAGGCACACTCGTTACTCCCTCTCTCTTTCTCTCTCTTTCTCCCCCTCTCTCTTTCTCTCGCACTGTAACGTGCTGCTCAGTGTCGTTACTTAACGGCTAACTGCAGCTGTTCAACGCTCAACGAAAGCGTACAAAAGCCGAAGCGAGACAAGGGTATCGTTTATTTGTAACTAGCGGGATACCCGGCGTTGCCCGGGGAAATCAGTGGCGTTACTCAGTTGGTGACCGCTTGGTTGAAAGGAAAATACCCAAAAATCTATCTATCCATGCATCCATCCATGCATCTATGCATCCATTTCATTCCATGCCATGAGTATGTATATCTCCTGATTAGATGATGATGCTCTCATCGTATTAATACGTCGGCTCATATTCGGCTTTATGAATGGCTTCCTGCTTTGTTGGCAAGGAGCTACTTGGATAGCTTGTCTACCGCGAATAACTTGTCAACAGATCCGGTTATGGAATCCTGACAGCGCTCGGCGAAGCTTAAAAGTAAGAAATGCACCGTAACGATCTTATTGGGTGCGCACGTTGTATAGATAACCACCTAGCAGTTACAAAAACGAAATTAATCACTAATGACCGGATGTATTCACCACAACATAAAATAGATATTGACTGTAAGATTTATTATTTGATGATATGGATTTGCTGGCAACATTTGCTGAGGAATTCTAAATCGCACACATAGATGAGCGGTTCACGCATATAGCGCTGCTGGCGAGCTTTCCCCAAAACATTTCACGCTCGCATCTTCTTTGCATATTCCCCTTACATGCGATTGAATAATCGCCGCTGTTTAGCATAGTTTAAGCTAACACAGCTGTAGTTACCGAAGCCTTCACTACACTACGCAGTACAGCGATGGCGAGCGCAACTAGAGCCGAAGCCGACATATTTCCGGGGTTGAGTGAGAACGAGATTACCTTCACTTATGGCGCGCGCACATTCATCCCACGTCCGCCGCTCTTCATTACGTTCCATCCGATTTACGTTGTTGCTTTCTTTCAGATAATGCGTAACATATTCCAAGAGTCTTTCAACGTGTATCGTACGAACGACGAGAGCAGGTTGACGGACTCGGCAGCACTGCATCACATGCGGTTCAGTCCTCGCCTGTTTGAAGTGCGACTCAGCTATCGACGTGAAAGCGTCGCATTCCTTGACGAACTAGACGCGTTCGTCGTCGCCGAAGGAGACACGAGTCGATTTTTTAATTTCAATTCGGGTGAGTGTCCGCCATGTTTGGGTCTAGCTATGCCGCTAATAAACAAACTCAATTTATATCCCACCAGGGTGTAAACAGCCGCTGAGAAAAACAAGAAATTATTCACGGAACGTGTATACAGTTTAGGAGTTTCGTCTTTCGAAATCGAATCGGTGTTTCTGAGGACCGTAATTTATGTAGATTTACGTAGCAAATTTGATTCGTTATTTCCAGAATGAACATCCGGCGCAGTTCTGTATATTGTATCGTGATGACTAATATACAGAAATCTTATCGTAATATATATACAGTATATATACACAGATACACATATATATACAGTAAAACTTATCGTGTGCATGTATGTCGTTTTGCCAAAGGCCAAGAAATGTATTGCCCTCAGTCTGTTTGGTGGGCATTACAGAAAACATCAGGGGCGAGAGGTAATAAATAAACGTAAAATGAAATTTTAGAGAACCGCAAGATTACACGAAATTGCTACTTTTACTGCTTTATGGTTAACTGTTTTTCCCAAATGCGCTTTCGAATTATCATCCATTCATAGTGGCTCGTTAGTTTTCGATTTATTATTGTTAAAAATAAATGTGGTTAGTGAAAGTATTCACCAGGTGAAAGTTCCTTTCACCTAATTCATATTTGTTCTAAGCCGCTCGTAACATGAGAAAACGAGACATAACATGTTTCTTTTTAAAAGAAGATATTTCAAACAGGTACAGCAAATATCCAATACTATGGCATGCTTTACACACACACGCACACACGCACGCACGCACGCACGCACGCCACCGCCACGCACACTCACACACACACACAACACACACACACACGCACACATGCGCTGCGCACACGCACACACGACACGAAGCACGTACGCACGTACGCACGCACGCACGCACGCACACATACACACATACATACACAGATATATATATATATATATCCTTACTAAATTAAATAATACATCTAATTTAATATTTAGAATCCTGCCATATTCGAACATATTCGATTATGTTATATACGAGGTATTACTACGTGGTTTTCACTGTGCACCAAAGCCCTACTTCACTGTACAAATTCAGACAAGTCGTCAGATTTCATTATGGTAAGAACATGTCTTTTCTGTGTGCCGCAGAATATCTGAAGAATGCGCGGAGTGCACGAACGTAAAATGCTTATATAAACGTTTGAAATAGCTACAAGATTGAATAGAGCTATTCTAAATCGATGGATGATTATTGTACGTACGTTGAAAGATCTGAGAACGCCGCCAGTTTTTACTTAAGTATTTGCAGAACAAACGTAAGCGGCTTTACATCGCTGTGTAATCTCGGGATCAAATGTCGCCGGAAGGAAAGCCATTATTGGGGCGAAATCAAAAGTAGCAAATGCCATCGGCTAAAAGGGCAGCTATCATGTATTTTTAAGAGTGGTGTCCTATGGACACGTTACGGAACAATTTAGTCTCCAGCGCTGCCCTAGCGTCTTATTGAAAGTACGTGACGTTAATAAAGGGACCATGCATTAAATGTACGTAAAGTAAATGTGTAGGCCTAATAATGAATATCTCTCAAAGGGAAAGCCAATATGATTTGTTCACGACTTCTTAGTGAAGAAATCCCATATGGGTTTTGTATTTGTCATTCTGGGTAATATTAAGAAAACGCATGCACCATTAGCTTGAACAAAGGGTCAGGGGTCAAAGATGATGGATAAAATGACTGAATAAGATGTCCCAGGAGCTGTTCTAAGAGTTTTTCTGATTTGTAACCTTTATGTGATGCGTAACTGTTCATGCAGCAACCCTTGGATCCGTGTGAGGAAGGCCAAACATATAGTTTTGTCATAACTTGACGTGATGCGGCCATGATGCCGAGGCGAGCCGAGGATTAACACTTTGTGTCCTCCAATCACAGTCTACGCCGCACCTCCCTTATAAATTTTTATAGGTGGGGACCCGCGCGCCATCACAGTACGAAATCGCCGATCTCAGGAACTAGGGCATTCTGCTAGGCTAGAACGGTTTCCTACGATAGAGTTTGGCACAAAAACGAAAATAACACGACGTTTAGCGCCCTGCGCTACGTACTTTTGTTGCATTTTCGTATCTCCGTAATCAGAATAAGCCCCGCCTTTTTCGTTGATGGGCATGAATGGGGCGTCACCGACTTGACCAGTTCCTATACCAAGGTTTATACCGACTGTGTTTACTTTTCGTAAATAATGAAATGCCCGGCCGATGCTAGACTGGTACCCGTTCGCCACCTTCACTCCGGCAAGTATCCTTCGCTACACTGACGCTGTTAGTGTAGCCAGAGCATATAAATCACCATATATATATTCTCTGGTGATTTATATGCTCTGGTGTAGCGTGTGGAACTGTCGACCGGGTACCAGTCTAGGCCGATGCCAAACTGCATGCAGTGCACCTTCGTACACTCAGGATACTCGTAGATTGAGCCCATGAGCGAGAGCGCTACCTGTGGTGGAGTTTGGGCCGATGCGATGCATTTTCTGCGTTTTCTGCGTGATTATTATTTTGCGCAGGCACTCATTTTGGAAATCCTCCAACATTTTTACTTCTTCCATTAAGTCCATGTTTTACTGTTATTTAGGAAGGAAGGTAAAACTGCATTCGTATAATTTCACTCTTGCTTCTATAGTATGATTTCCATAATTTTGCTATTCTGCCCATGATAATATTTCCCTCATCATGAACCTACATTTTTCAGTTAGGACTCTTATCATATCATTATAACTGCCTATATCATCAATTAAATCCTCTAGGTATGAATATTTGGTGCATTTTTTGATTACTTGGTTGCCTATTAATATCTCATTCTCTATCCTTTCTATGTTGGTGAATTTTATATTCATTGTATTTGTTTTGTTCATATTAAATTCTAATCTTTTTGATTCAGCTAATCTGGAGCATGACTGAGCGATTCTTGTTACTGTTTTATAATCTCCAATTCCTAGAATATCGTCCATATTTAATCATTGTCATCTTCTAAAACTACAGACCATCCGCTGACCGCTGTGGAGACGTGCGCCGGGCCTCGAATTTGGCGCACGTCGCCACTGCGGACAGCGCTTCATACTTGAACATCCCCGCGGTCGCGTGCGCATATCCCGCGGAACTGCGCGTCTCGTCCGCGCGCAGCGCTTAGGATCAACAGCAAAGCTGTGCCACGCAATCTTGTATCATGTCTCTCTGGATATCAAAGGGCTTATAGGGTTCATATTTAACCATAAATTAGCCAACCAGTTCGAACAAGATGGAGGCGGCGGCGACGGCGACGGCGGGTTTAATAGCGGTAGTAACAGCCGTATAACAGCCATGGTATAATCGGGGTATTACGGCAGTGGTGCCTCCAGATAATAGTAGCTTCAAGCGTTAGATGAGCACTCTCACACATTACTGCTGAAACTTTGGATATTTTCTAACACGGGTTATGACAAAAATGGCACTAGCTGGCGATTCCTTCAGACTATTTTTTTATTTAAATTATGTTAAACGATACCGGACCAAGATCTACTCAAATATGCGCGAGAACGCGCGATGTAGGCGCTCACTGGGACCCACGTGAACTTTATTATTCTAATTTTCATAATGTGTAATTTTCATATTTGTTAATGGGATAGTGCATGTTGCGCGCACAAGCAAAGTATATTTTTATGTAAACGGCTCGGTGACCCGCGAGCATACACTAAAACGCGGGCTACACACAAGCAAGAAAGCTCAGCCTCACCGAGAGAAAAATTCACATTCGGCAATACATCGTGTAGCTGAAGCAGTAAGAAGGTCTATAACATCGTGCCGCAAGGCAGAGAGATTGCGAAGAAGAAATATCCCTCGAGTGGCTCGTGCAGCTATAAAGGCACGGAAGGATTTCTCATTTGTGCGCAAGTACATTAGGAGAAAGTGAAGCAGTCTGCGAGATAACAGAGTGTGGCTAATGGAGAGACGGTGCGGACACATGCCTACACACAGTTGCCGCAGCGAGATGTCGTAACATGGATAGCGGAATAACAGGAAGCTATAGTCTGCCACAGAACAGATCGGTATTCATGACGCAGCAGATGGCGGAATAGGAAGGACAGGTGGAAGAACATCGGTGAATCAACGAGAGAGGTTCCACTATAGTTTGGGGAATCTACGCACCGGATATTAGGAAAGAAGACAAGACGAGAACATTAGCAGAAAGATAGCAACCGCAATCGAGAGAGAAAGAGAAACAGAGCGAGAGAGAGCGCGCACTGAGAGAGCGGGAGAAAGAGAGAGAGAGCGAGAGAGAGAAAGAGAGAGAGAGAGAGAGAGAGAGAGAGAGACGAGAGAAGAGAGAGAGAGAGAGAGAGAGAGAGAGAGAGAGAGAGAGAGAGAGTAGGTAGGAGGAGAGAGAGAGTAGGAGGGAGAGAGTAGAGAGTAGTAGAGAGAAGAGAGAGAGAGAAGTAGAGGAGGAGTAAGAGTACGGAGAGAGAAGAAGTA